TTTTGTATATTTTGGCCCCAGCAGCACCCTATAATGTAAGCATGTTCAGGTGAGTGCAACCTTCTTGGTTTTATGTGTGTGTGTATATATATCTATATACACATAAGCAATGTCCTTGCACTCACGCTTTTAAAGTCTTGTACATAAAAAAAAAAAATGATTAAAAAAATAAATAAAAACTTACCACCAAAGTACTTTCATCTTCAGGATAACATATGAATGCAGTTTTACATGTACATCCCTTCTATAGTGATGTGCACTAGAATGATCCTTCATGTACAGTGAGGGTTAAAGGAACATTTTGAGCACCATAACAACTTCATCATAATTAAGTTGTTATAATGCCAGTGTGTTCTCCAATGTTGTGCTGCTCTGCCCTGCTTTCTTGTAATCAGCCGAAGCTCTAAGCCAAATAGTAGCTATCCATTTAAAAACACAGCTTTAAAAAGGACAGGGGTGATGGAGTAGATGGACTCTGAAGCATAAACTTTGGGGTTAAACTATTCATTTCAATTCAGTTTTTATGGTGCCCAAATTGTGTCTTTAAGGTAATGTCAATTGTATCTCCTCTCTTTATGGTCAGATATTCCCTGTCTTTTCCAGGGAATATCTCAGCATGCCCAGACATCACAAGCCAGGCATACGGCATAGAATAAAAATACAAGCATTTAAAAAAAACAAAAAAAAAACAGCTAAATGTTATTGGATTATAAAAAAAATAAAAATAAAAGTGACAAATCCACTTTAATTTGGTATAGTTTTCATTTTTTGTGGGGTGAGGGGGGGGAACATACATAAAATGCAAATTAAATATTTTTTTTGTGCTTACAGGATTATTCAGTACTGTTAGAATACACCAACATTCATTATTTAGATTATTTATCAAGATTTGGATTTTGGAATCAATATCTTGATGGGAATGAATGTCCACTGGATTTCAGCCCGTTCACATACAACTAGATGTCTTAAACCTGGAACCTAATGCCAACAATCTGGAATATTTGCAAGTTAGAAGCAAATATTTATAAGCAGCTAATAGTTAAATAAAATCCGTGATAGTTTAATGGTTAACTAATATGGTTTCCAGCTAGCTTTGATAAGTCAGCCACAGGAAAAGGCGGGAATTCTAAATAACTATTTCTCCTCCGTATATATTAAGGAAGAACCCATGGCAATAGATGTGCAAATGATTGCTACTAAAAACTTGCAGAATAATTGTAATTGGTTAACTCAAGACAAGGTGCTGCAGCAACTAAAGAAAGTTAATATAAACAAAGCTTATATCCAACCACATGTACTTAAGGAACTAAGTGTAGAAATAAGTTTTTAATCTTTCAAGATTCTTTTCTTTCAGGAAGTGTTCCGGAGGATTGGAGGAAGGCAGATGTGGTTCCTATATTCAAAAAGTGTTCAAAATCCTTGCCTGGAAATTATAGACCTGTGAGCTTAACTTCTATGGCTGGTAAAATATTTGAAAATTTATTAAGGGATAATATTCAAGAATTCCTTGAGAAGAACATGGTTATCAGCAAAAATCAGCACGGTTTTATGAAGCACAGGTCATGTCAAACTAACTTGATTGCGTTCTACAAAGAAGTAAGTAGAAGTATAGATCAGGGTTTTGCAGTGGATGTGATCTATTTGGATTTTGCCAAGGCATTTGATACAGTTACACACAATAGATTAGTGTTCAAACTCAAGGAAATCGGTCTAGATGAAAATGCTTGTTCCTGGGTAGAACATTGGCTTAAAAACAGAGTACAAAGAGTTGTCATTAATGGTAAATTTTAAAGCTGGACAGAGGTGGCAAGTGGTGTCCCTCAGGGGTCTGTTCTGGTACCCCTTCTATTTAACATATTTATAAATGATCTTAAAGACAGCATTGAAAGTCATGTTTCAGTGTTTGCAGATGACACAAAACTTTGTAAAATAATAGAATGTTAGCAAGATATTACTTTGCTGCAGAGGGATTTAGATAGACTGGGGGACTGGGCACTAACATGGCAGATGAAATTTAATGTTGAAAAATGCAAAGTTATGCACTTCGGCGTAAAGAATACACAAGCAACGTATACCCTTAATGGAAGCGAATTAGGGATAACAACACACGAAAAGGACTTGGGAATTGTTATGGACAAACTATGCAACAATGTGCAATGTCAATCAGCAGTGGCCAAGGCCAGTAAGGTATTGTCATGCATGAAAAAGGGCATTCATTGTCGGGACGAGAATATCATTTTGCCTCTTTATAAATCACTGGTAAGACCACATATTGAATATGCTGTGCAATTTTGGGCACCTGTTCTAAAAAAGGATATTATGGCACTAGAAAAAGTGCAGAGGCAGGCTACAAAATTAATAAAAGGAATGGAACACATCAGCTATGAAGAAAGGTTAACAAATTTAAACCTATTTAGTTTAGAAAAACATCGCCTGAGAGGGGATATGATAACATTATACAAATATATTCTGGGCCAATACAGACCATTGTGTGGAAATCTATTCACAAACCGGACTTTACATAGGCCATGCGTTTACACTGGAAGAAAGAAGATTTCGTCTAAGGCAAAGGAAAGGGTTTTTTACTGTAAGAACAATTAGAATGTGGAATTTTTTGCCTGAAGAAGTGGTTTTATCAGAGTCCATACAGATATGCAAACAGCTACTAGATGCATACTTGCAAAAACAGAATATTCAAGGATATAATCTTTCAATGTAGGGTAATAATTGCTTGATCCAAGGATAAATCTGACTGCCATTCTGGGGTCAAAAAGGATTTTTTTTCCTAGCTTGTTGCAAAATTGTGCTTCAAACTGGTTTTTTTTGCCTTCTGTTGGATCAACAGCAAAAAACAAATATGAGGAAGGCTGAACTTGATGGACGCAAGTCTCTTTTCAGCTATGTAACTATGTAATTGGTAAAAGTAAAAAACAAAACAAAAAACAATCGCATGGACTTCGACCTGGCCGCTTACTATAGAGGGACAAACCTTCAAATTTGTTAAGCAGCCAGCGGCTGCCCAATAGAATTATTTCCTACTTCATGCTCCCTTGCTGTTAAAACTGCTATTATGGTCTATACTGTCCATGTGAGCTTGTTTCACCATGTTTTCAACAAAACTTCACTATTTAAATTAATATTGAGCATTATTTTTTCCTCCTATGACTATTCTGGCACGTACCTTTGCAAAATAAATCTAATTCCTAACTTTTAATGTACTTTGTCCATGTCAGTCCAACTGTACTGAATTTTTTTATTTTTTTTTAAACTACAGAATCGTCTTCCAGAATAGCCAAATTGTTGTAATTCAGTAACAGTTTATTTGGCTATTTATACCCCTGATCTGCATTGTATCAATGCCCTACCGAGGTTCTCAAGTATATTTCTGGTTACTTTGACTTCCCATGGCTATATATGCATTCAGATTAATATTATCCTTGACCTAAGCTTGCTATTTTGCTATTATACCTTTCCACAGGTTCACTTTTTGTAACCTCATTATAGGCTCAGTATTAACAATACTGAACCTACACAAAAGAGTGTAACTGTGGAGGAGCTCTCAACATTCGGTCAAGAAGCCAGTCAACATCTTGGGTTGTTCAAGAAGATTCTTTCAGATTCAATAGCAAGCAACGTGTTTGGAAAATAGTATTTGATGTCATACGGAGAAGGAATCTAGAAATACATTGAGAGTTTAATGAATATCATCTTACCTAACCACTACATTATCCATTTACATCTATTTTGGACACTATGCTTGGCCTGCAGACATAGTATCTGTATTTTATGGTGCCTGTACATCATCCAAACATTCAAATCTCTTGGATTTATAACTGGGCTCACCTTTCCACATTTATTTTTTTTATAGAAAAATAATAAACTCTCTTTGTGAGTAACACATTTCCCCAACAGATGCCCTACATTCTTATTTGCTAACCTTTTGCCCATTTTTTTTTTAACAAGTTCAGTTATTTTGATCAAACACCTTCTAACAAAACAAGATAAACTTCTACTTATAGTGGAGCGCTGAAGTGCAAAATTAGAGAAGGTAACTTACCCCACAAATATATCCAAACGATAATGTCTGGTACATAAAAAAAAACAAAAGAAACCAAAATATAGTTCAGCTAATCATTTTGTACAAAATAATAAATCTTTCTGAGGTAAATTCACTCACATGTAATGGAGCCTATATACTGGCTACATAAACAGGACTGTTGTGCTTTTAGGGCGGCATCACACCATTCCTTTGTAACAATGTTCCTTCCAGCAAAACAGACAAGAGATATGCCATCAATGTGTAGTAAAATCAATATAAAATTGTTAACCGTATAAGGTAGGTATTGAGCTCACCTTTTTCAGAGCCTGAATGCCTGGTTATGATGTGTATAGGTGTAGTGCCACTATAGAGAGGATGGCTCTTCCCCAATTAAGATTCCTGAGACTTCAAAGGACTCTCTTAAAATTAGTACTTACATTTCTTAATAAAAAAGAATAAAACTGTTAAATACTTTGATACTTGCATTTTAACTGGATATTCTTAAAATCTATATGCATTTTCAACTGTCTGATGTAACTAAGAATCCATTGTGTTGCTCATTTCTGGAAAAAATAGATAATTCTAACACATATTTTCCCAGAAAAAGCACACACTCATAGTACTCACATTATGAAGATTTTCCACAGAAGCTCCTATGGATGCAAAGTTTATGTCATGTTCTTAGAAAAAAAAAAAAAGAAAGAACTGACACTAGCTGCTATAGTGTTGAACTGACGCTAGCTGCTATATTATTGTCCAATCCTAACACCAGTGGGGAAACATGCAAATGTAGTGGTGGAGAGCAGGGCCGGACTGACCCACCGGGATACCGGGAAATTTCCTGGTGGGCCGCGGCACCTCGGGGGCTGCATGTAGAGAGGGAGCCCTGCTCCCTATATTTTAATAATATTGCGGCCACCGGCCGCATGTTGGTGCTGCCGGGTGGCCGGAGGGGGCAGAGCTAACTACCATGCTCCCTTGCGGTTCCCATAATTCCCAGCACAGGGATTACTCTATGATGTGGCTATGCTGGAAATTATGGGAACCACGAGGGAGCATGGTAGTTAGCTCTGCCCCCTCCCTCAGTCCTCCTGTGACAAGATCAGCAGGGACACAATAAAAGAGGGGTAATAGAAACACAGGGGAAGGGGGGGCAAATAGAGGGGTAATAGAAACACAAGGGAAGGGGGGACAAATAGAGGAGTAATAGAAACACAGGGGAAGCGGGACAAATAGAGGGGTAATGGGGATACACAGGAGAAGGGGGAACAAAGAGAGGGGTAATGGAGAGACACAGGGGAAGAGGGGGGAAAGGGAGGGGTAATGGAGGGACACAGGGGAAGAGGGGAAAAAGAGAGGGGTAATGGGGAGACACAGGGGAAGGGGACAAAGAGAGGGTAATGAGAGACACAGGGGAAGAGGGGAAAAGAAAGGTAATGGGGAGACACAGGGAAGGGAGACAAAGAGGGTAATGGAGAGACACAGGGAAGGTGGGACAAAGAGAGGTGGAGACACAGGAAGGGGACAAGAGAGGCAATAGAGAGAGACACAGGAAGGGGACAAAGAGAGGGGTAATAGAGAGACACAGGATGGGGACAAAGATAGGCGAATGGAGAGACACAGGGAAGGGACAAAGAGAGGGGTAATGAGAGACACAGGGAAGGGGACAAAGAGAGGGGTAATAGAGAGACACAGGGGAAGGGGGGACACAGAGACAGATGGGATAATAGAGAGACACCAGGGACAGGGGAAAAAAGAGACAGAGGGATAAGAGAGAAACACAGGGGATGGGGAAGAGAGACACAGGTTTGTTGGGGGGACAAAAACATACAGAAGGGAAGGGGAACAAAGTGACACACAAGATTTATGGGAGGCAATGCTGGGCTGGGGGAAAAAGAGACACAGAGTGGTTGGGAGAAGAGAAAGAGGCACACAGAGTCTGGAGTTAGAAAGAGACACAGAGATGAGATTTGGAAGGGGAGAAAGAGACAAAGGGGCTGGGGCTAAGATATACACAAAAGAGGCTGGGGGAAAGAGACATACAGAGGCTGGAGAAAGGTAAAAAGAAACACACAGGGACTGAGATGAAGTAAAAGATACACAAGGGTCACTGTAAGAGACAAAAAGGAGACAATTGGAGACAAGATACACTAAACGAGGTAAACGTAATAGACGTAATTGATGTGATCCTGACAGTAATACACACATATATATATATATATATATATATATGCATTTATATTGATGTATGTATTAGTAACATATATAATTATGCCTATAATATTTACACATATATTAATATACTATAGAAATTGAAGAAAATAGGAAGCAAAAAGGATACACTCATAGAAGGGATTAACCCTATATAGACTACAGCAGTAGTGAAAGTGGAAAAGGAGAACAAGTGAGTGCCCTCAAATTAAAATATAACTTTTAATATGAAAATAGATAAAACAAATTATATGGTATAAAGATCAAAACAAATATTTATAATAAAATAAAATAAAATACTGTAGGATCAATTGTTTTTAAAGCGTAATTAGCGATAGTAAACCAAGGAGGTCCTGTTCAAAAGTTTTCAGGACAAGTCTCCAAATAGTATGCAGAAAACCATATAGGTTTTCAAATGCATAAAAGTATGTGTCTCAAATAGGTTAACTTCAGCGGAAATGCACAGTCAATACAGTATTAAATAGAAATTGTTGCATACATAGTGCTGGTTGGATCCAAAACCTGCACTAGATAAAATTTAGTGTAAGAAAAAATTGTTGTATTCCTCACTAAATAACCAACTCATACAGAGGGAGTAGGGATTAATACGAAAATATACCAAGAACATGTGCTCTATACATCCCCCACTTGTATAGCTGGAATAGGGCTAAATGTCGAAGTATAAAGTATATTGAGTCTAATGTCCGTCTGAACAGACGGCGATACTGTGGTCAGTATGTATCGAAAGAGCCCTTTCCCCTGACGCGCGCGTTTCGCCCACAGCTCATCAGAAGGGAACCGATGTGCGGGGAAAAAAACGATATAAAAAGGTGAGTGTGAACATATAATTGGTCTAATTCAAAACTCGTAATGCATAGTTAACCAATAGAAATAGAGCCGGTGAGTGACGTCACTGAGAGCCACAGATGGGTCCTAACTACTAAGGTGTATAAGTTTTAACCCCTTAGAAACCCTCACACGGAGAGAGTGAGATCCAAAAGAAATGACAGATTAATTGCAACTATCAAGATGTTGCATAATGTAACTAAAATCATAAAATGTATAAAGACATTGCTCATTTTTAAAAGAGGGCTTGATGTTGGTGCCCGACTAACACCAGTACCTTATCGTATGATTCTACGATAAGGTACTGGTGTTAGTCGGGCACCAACATCAAGCCCTCTTTTAAAAATGAGCAATGTCTTTATACATTTTATGATTTTAGTTACATTATGCAACATCTTGATAGTTGCAATTAATCTGTCATTTTTTTAATGGTGTCAATTAATCAGCACCGCCCACTTTTTGCTGGGGACGTGATAGTATGAAAAGTCTATGACTTAAAACATGATTCTGGGAGCACCAAGATATATCAATATTAATGATCACAATTCAGGTACGCCGCATACATTTACAGAAACGTGATGGTATGTTAATAGGGGCAGTAAAGCGGACATAATACCGAGTCCGATTTATAGGTGGACATTATTATTTTTTCCCGCACATCGGTTCCCTTCTGATGAGCTGTGGGCGAAACGCGCGCGTCAGGGGAAAGCGCTCTTTCGATACATACTGACCACAGTATCGCCGTCTGTTCAGACGGACATTAGACTCAATATACTTTATACTTTGACATTTAGCCCTATTCCAGCTATACAAGTGGGGGAGGTATAGAGCACATGTTCTTGGTATATTTTCGTATTAATCCCTACTCCCTCTGTATGAGTTGGTTATTTAGTGAGGAATACAACAATTTTTTCTTACACTAAATTTTATCTAGTGCAGGTTTTGGATCCAACCAGCACTATGTATGCAACAATTTCTATTTAATACTGTATGGACTGTGCATTTCCGCTGAAGTTAACCTATTTGAAACACATACTTTTATGCATTTGAAAACCTATATGGTTTTCTGCATACTATTTGGAGACTTGTCCTGAAAACTTTTGAACAGGACCTCCTTGGTTTACTATCGCTAATTACGCTTTAAAAACAATTGATCCTACAGTATTTTATTTTATTTTATTTTATTATAAATATTTGTTTTGATCTTTATACCATATAATTTGTTTTATCTATTTTCATATTAAAAGTTATATTTTAATTTGAGGGCACTCACTTGTTCTCCTTTTCCACTTTCACTACTGCTGTAGTCTATATAGGGTTAATCCCTTCTATGAGTGTATCCTTTTTGCTTCCTATTTTCTTCAATTTCTATAGTGTATTTCTCGTAGGGTTTTAGTACCCATTAAAACTATACTTTATACTTCGACATTTAGCCCTATTCCAGCTATACAAGTGGGGGATGTATAGAGCACATGTTCTTGGTATATTTTCGTATTAATCCCTACTCCCTCTGTATGAGTTGGTTATTTAGTGAGGAATACAACAATTTTTTCTTACACTAAATTTTATCTAGTGCAGGTTTTGGATCCAACCAGCACTATGTATGCAACAATTTCTATTTAATACTGTATGGACTGTGCATTTCCGCTGAAGTTAACCTATTTGAAACACATACTTTTATGCATTTGAAAACCTATATGGTTTTCTGCATACTATTTGGAGACTTGTCCTGAAAACTTTTGAACAGGACCTCCTTGGTTTACTATCGCTAATTACGCTTTAAAAACAATTGATCCTACAGTATTTTATTTTATTTTATTTTATTATAAATATTTGTTTTGATCTTTATACCATATAATTTGTTTTATCTATTTTCATATTAAAAGTTATATTTTAATTTGAGGGCACTCACTTGTTCATATATTAATATACATTTATATATGCATAATACACACAGAAATGTCATTAATATATACATGTATGTAATGAGCACGAATTGGCTATTCAAAGTACAGAGCGCACCCATAGGACTTCAAAATGAACAAGATATCTTCATTTTTTTTCAGTTGTGCAACCGCATACATTCACCATTTCAGTCCCATTACTAAAATGTCCTTAATAGGCCAAAGTAGTTGTACTGAAACAATTACATGAAAATGTACGTCTGCTTAAAATAAAGGCAATCTTTTGTTTATTTTGAAGCCCTATACGTGTTCTTTTAGTTGGAGTAATTGTTTTCAATTTTAAGTTATTTTTCCACCCTCTATATCAGCACACTATGCTGGCACGACGCATTATTGGGCTGGTATAGAATTTTTTTCCAGGGCTGCTTTTAGTTCCCAGTCCAGCCCTGGTGGAGAGATAGACTGTAGATTCTTTCCATGTCTAAAGTAGAGTTTCACCATGTGCTGAAATCCTGTTTTACACAGTGTGTGGGAAGCCTTCTTTTCTCTTGGTTCTGCCTCAAAAGTTGGCTAACCCTCACACTACAGTGGAAATACTGAGCAAGCCATCTGCAACACTCAAGTATGGTTTGCGGGTCGAACCTCCTCCACTGCAATAACCATTCCTGGGCACTAGGGTGCTGTCAAGAAAAGAAAGGGAACCAGAAGGAGCACTCCATATTTCAGGCAGGGTATTTTGTTTTTGGTTTTTTTTGGCCTGCTGTTTTGGTCCTGGAATGAAATCCAACAAAATGCCCAAGAGTGGGCTGGTGGACACTTCACTGGGATGATGAGGAGTCCAACTCTCCCTGCTCAACCTTCCTCTATAAATGACTAGCACTATCCTATCTTTGCAGAAGTTGCTGATACCACTTGTGAATACATGATTGCCAAAGTATGCATTTACACCACACATTCATGTATATATGATTTTCATAACTGCACATTAATTGTGTTTATTGCAAATTAATTACATTTGCAAATTGTCTTTTGCAAGTCCTTAAACTCACAGTGTAGTGGCACCAGAAGCTGCCATGCTGTCAGCTTCATAGATCTAAATACAGCAAGACTTAGTTACTACAGTCCACTCTCTTTGTAGCAGCTCCTCTACTCGGAGATGCTACATTTCTTGATGGGAGGAGAAGCGAGGGCCGCAGCCTGTCCTCAGTTACTCTGGAAGGGGTAAAGCTACAGCCTCTCCATTTTTTTTTTACTAAGATAGCTGATCAGGCTTGGGGGAGCTTGTTGCAGACTCAACTTGCTGATAATGCTGGGAGGGGGAGTGAGGGCTACCCGTCTCCGAGCTGGCTGATAATGCTGTGAGGGGATGAAGGCTAGCACAGCTACTTTGCTCTCTCCCCTGTATTCACGGGGAGCTACTGTGTACATCAAAATAACAGCTACCCTCCCGCCAGTAGAAGGTAATTGGAGGGTAGTTGATGATGATACGTAGCTGGCACAGCGTGCTATAAATCCTGACAGCAACCACTAGACACTAGCACACTCTGACTCCCCTAGTCCATTACTATGTCAAGCTATACTTGTCATCATATTGGAGCAGGGAAGCAGAATGTGTTTGGGAGCCTGTTTGATGGCTCCTCTGGCTTATAATATTTACATGAATATTCACTGAAGTGAGAATTCAAAGTGAATTTTAAATTTAAGGTGAAAATAGCCCAACTGAAAGAATTTTTAGGCCATTAATGCTTTCAGTTCAGATTCTTTGACCTTGAATTTGACATTTGATTTCACATTAAATTCTCACTCTATAAACAAGTTTGTTAGAGACGAGTAGCTTCTGGGCCTTAGGTAAAAGAGTAATGTTTGCAGCTGTGAGAGAAACAGAATTCTTATCACCAGGTTCATCACCGCCAGTACCAAAAACAGACATTGTGGACACTGTCTCAGTACACTGAGCCAAGTCTTCACTCAAGAGTGGCGCTGATGATTCCTACAAAGTAACCTATGCTGTGTTTGTCCTTAATTGCTTCTTTGAGGGCTTCAAAAATGTATACTTCTTGAACCAGCTGATAGAAGGAGCTGCAGTTTCAGTGGAAACAGAATAATACGTTCTTACAACATGAAAATGATGAGAAAAAAAAAGTCTTTCTGGTTGTTTAATCATGCCATAAACATGCTAAAAATCTCACTATTCTGAGGCCGAAAACTACTTATAGTCGTGGTAGCGACAGTCATGGTAGAGGCTGCGGTAGTGGGGGTGCAAGCATTCCTCCAGGTTGAGGAAAAGTGTTTAAACGCCCAGAAGGTCTCAGAAGCATTACTGCTGATGGTGGATTGGGAAGCAATACCCTCATTTTGAAATTAGTATGTGACATTGAAGTTGGTGGGTGTGTTTTACTTATTACAATAAATTTCGGATATGAATGATTTTGAACTGTGTAAAGAAACAATGTAATTCAGCAAAAATGCATGTTTGTGTAGCAAAATGTGTTGCTGCTTGGTATACTTATTACTATAACGTTATTGTGTTTATCTTTTAGAAACAGTACACAGTGTTCGTACACATGAAAAGCAGGCACTAGATGGAATAGAATAATAATAAAAAAAATGAATAAAAAAAGAATTTGCTTTCTCTAAACACTTACGGTAACCAAAGGAAAAAACATGCCAATCTATGAATTGGGGATTCTAAGTTGGTGTTAAGTGGTAGTGGCAAGTACTACCCTTAAACAATAGTTTCACACTCAGCTAAATGGAGCATGCTATCTCTACAATTCAACATTTGTGTGAGTGTCAACAGGCAAGATTATTTTTTTTCTTTTCTTTTACTGGACAACACCCTCCCTCCAAATAAAATATTTTCTTTCTACAAATAATTAACAAAAAAAAAAAAAAAAATAACACCTGTAATTTTTAAATTCATAGTAAACTAAAAGAGTAAAACATTAAATAAAATGCCATTAAAAGTCACCGGGATACGTTATCTGTCAAATCTATCCAGGAAGTACTTGTTCCTCCAAGGAAACGATGTGTAGATGTTAATTGACAGATATAGCATGATTTCTTTCATAGTGTGCCGAGCAGAATAATATGTGGCAGAGTCGTCTGGACTCATGTTGTTCAGCTGCAGATAAAACTTATTTTCAGAAATGTCCCAGGTGATTGTCACTCTGTTCTTCAGAGCAGAATTGTATACTGTGCTTCCATCATTTTTGATAACTCCCAACCACTCCAGTCCTTTACCAGTTGGCTGTCTCACCCAGTGCCACCACGCACCACTATTTATGGTATATCCATTAACTTTACAGGTGAGTTTAAGAGATTCTGTTGGTTTTACAAGTCCATTTCCAGACTGAATCAATGTAATCTGACACTGAGCACCTAATAAAATAGAAGAAAACACATTCCCAGGTTATCCTGTTTAAGATTAGTCGCTCGCCCATCAAATTTACATGATTTTATACTTACAAGTTATAAAACAGAGTGTAAGAAAAAAAAATAAATGTGCCATTTTCCCGCAGTGGTAAAACAGCCTGTTTGCCTGTCTTGAACATGTGATTCTCTAAGAAAAAGAAACCTGAATATATACAGAAATCTCTTCTTTGCATATTTGCATATGAGATGATCAGTCTATATAACTGCATTCAGATTGGTAGTCATTGTATAGCAAATAAGTATTGATAGGGTTACTTATTAAAGTGAGAATTCAATGTGAATTTCATTTTCATGGCTTAAGTTGCCAAACTGAAATCAAAGTTGACGCAGAGAATTTTTCCAGTTCAACTATTTTGACCTTATATTTTAATTTACTTTGAATTCCATTCAAATTCTCACATTAGTAAATAACCCCAGAAACAAAATAATTTTTTAAACTCTTAACAAGACAGTGCTTCTAAACTTAGGTACGTTTAAGGAAAATAAAGTAAAATAGTCCAAAAGAGTCTCACTAGAGCAACAATACTTGATGGGATATGGACTTTGCAGTAAGGGTGGGTGTGCCCTAATGTCTCAGGGTATTCGTATATGAAAAACAAAGAAACAGGGTTATCCGTTAGTGCAGTACGTTTAAAATCCGAAGGGTAAAATAGTAGTAGAAGGTAGAAAACTCACATTTAAAAGAGTTATGGCCAGCTCTGGTGTGAAGGGCGTACAACGGTATAATCCCCACTGTTGTGATGTATAAAGGGAATGCATCTATCAGTGCCATCTGGTCATCCGAAGCTCCGGAAAAAAAAAAAAAGACAATAGTGCTCTCAAATGAAGTAAAAGTAAATAAAATAATACTCACAGGTGTAGAGCAAAAGATACTGCTCTATTAATAAGGTGTTGGTGGTATGATCCCCACCTGGGATTTCTTTAAGTGCAGGAGCAGTAATAAAAAGCCAGGAAAGTAAAAATAGTAGAAGTGCATAAAAAATACAATAAAAAGAGAATTGGCACAGTAAAGTAAACAAAAAGCTTTAACCCCTTAAGGACTGGACTGTTTTTGCGATGTTGTACATTTGCGACCAGGCATATTTTTACACTTTTGTGGTGTTTGTGTTTAGCTGTAATTTTCTGCTCTCTCATTTACTGTTCCCATACAAATTATATATTATTTTTTTTTCAGGACAAAAGGGGCTTTCTTTACATACCATTATTTATATAATCTCATGTATTTTAATTTAAAAAAATATGATGAAAAATTAAAAAAAAATACATGTTTTTTTACTTTTCAAAATTTTGTCCTGAGTTTAAAAATACCAATGTTTACGTGCTTTTTTTCTTTTTTTTTTTGCATGTTATAGGGCTATAGGTACAAGTAGGATATTGCGGTTTCAAAACATACATTTTTAAAATTTATCAATAGTGACATTGTAACATTATTATCTGTCATAAACCTCTGAATAACACCCTACATGTACATATTTATGTTAAAGTAGACAACCCAGGGTATTCAATATTGGGTATGTCCAGTTTTTTTTAGTAGCCCCCTGCAGGCAGAAACATGGACACCTATTGTGACCATGTGATCACTGTGTTGAGCGATCACATGGCCACAGGGGTCCTAATCCGGTGTGGGGAGACTGTCTGGGCTGCAGGCAGTCTCCCCACAACGGGAGCAATGCTGGTCGCCGCCGGGGGAACGATGGCGATCAGGTAAGTAACTAGGAACCGTCCTCGGTCCTTAAGGGGTTAATTGATATAAAATACACAATTTAAAATAACCATTACGCATTTCACCAAAAAGGCTTTCTCCAATGGCATAAAGAACATACAATCTAGCTAGTACGAGTTTATATAGGGGAAAGATTAATACAAAATTGGCGCCAACATTGTGTCATAAAGTGTCATCCAATCAGCAAACCTCATCATTCAATATATTATAAAAAAGGCAAACAATGATATGTATTGATAAATATAGGGTTGTGCATCCCTACTGTCATATTGGATCTTAAAAACGAGCATTGGGTGAAGAGTTTCGGATGTTTGGTTAAGTGGCCATGATGGGTGGGGAAAAACATCCCTAATGTAAAAAATATAAATCCTTAATATAAGAAATAGATTAACAGTGGCTTTACATAAAAGAGAATATTATGGATAAGAAATTATAATAGTAAAAGGATAAAAAGAACATATACTTAAAATAAAGATAAAATAAATAAGGAAAATCTTAGGAAGAAGTGGTTATGGTAGGGGTGTTCTAGATCATAATGACGTAAATAGAAACAACTATTATTAGAATGGGCCTACGATAACAACAGGGTATATATAAGTTAGTGTTCATGTTTGTTTTGTGTGAAAACAGCAAAAAAATTATATTTGGCCAGTGTTTGTGACGAAGTGGCTACTAAAAAAGACTGGACATACCCCACTTGCAATACCTACTTTTGCAAATGGTAGGCCATCATGGGGATAATTCTCATTCTGGGCTACCATATGGTCTCAAAGGCAACATTACCAAACTGGCAAATTTCAATGTGAAAAGAATGAAATGCAAACCTTATATTTGACTCTCTAACTCCAAAACACCATAAAACCTGTACATGGGGGGTACTGTTATACTTCTAAGACATCACTAAACACAAACATTAGTGTTTCAAAACAGTAAAACATATTACAACAATAATATTGTCAGTAAAAGTGCCATTCATGTGTAAAAAATGCAAAAAAAAGTAACTTTTACTATAAATATCATTGTTGTAATACAATTTACCATTTTGGAACACTAAAGGAAAACTATAGTCACCTAAATTACTTTAGCTAAATATAGCAGTTTTAGTGTATAGATCATTCCCCTGCAATTTCACTGCTAAATTCACTGTCATTTAGGAGTTAAATCACTTTGTTTCTGTTTATGCAGCCCTGCCCCTAGCCACAGCTCCCCTGGCTACGACTGACAGAGCCTGCATGAAAAACAAAACTGGTTTCACTTTCAAACAGATGTAATTTGCCTTAAATAATTGTATCTCAATCTCTAAATTGAACTTTAATCACATACAGGAGGGTCTTGCAGGGTCCAGCAAGCTATTAACATAGCAGGGGATAAGAAAATCTTAATTAAACAGAACTTGCAATAAAGAAAGCCTGAAGTGTTTATGGAAGGCTGTGCAAGTCACATGCAGGGAGGTGTGACTAGGGTTCATAAACAAAGGGATTTAACTCTTAAATGGCAGAGGATTGAGCAGTGAGGCTGCAGGGCATGTTCTATACACCAAAACTGCTTCATTAAGCTAATGTTGTTCAGGTAACTATAGTGTCCCTTAATATTTGTGTTCAACGAAGTCTCCCGAGTAAAACAGTACCCATGTACAGGTTTTATGGTGTCTTGGAAAGTTACAAGGTTAAATATAGTGCTTTCAAATTAAATTCTCTGCACTTTCTGCCTGGGTTGCCATGTTAATCAAATTTTAAATAATAAAATTACATAATTATGCAAAAAGATTGCTTAAATATACATGTAGAATTGTAATATATATATATATACATATATATGTATTTAAATTCTACGTGTATACTTATGTCAAAGAAAAATTTGCAAGTGGAGCGATATCATATATATAGTATTAGTGTAGTCCATGTAAATAAGGTGGTAATATAAAATATACAACCGTATTATAAGGATCCTCCAGTAGGTGGCATTCAGTCAGTATACATAAAATGAGAAAATGAAATGGCAGGTAATGCAGATCGTATTTAAAATAAATGAATGAATTAAATAATCTTTTGTCTTATGCCACTGATTATAAACACACTTATGTTCAATATGTGTGTGTAAGGGCAAAATCATATTTGCTTTTATAGGAAGTCAAAATTATTTGTGTTTGCAATACAAATTTATTATACAGGTTATACAATAATAATAAGTTCTAAGAAATGTACAATATGACCAAATTCAATAAAATTTCATGAAATCAAGTAAAATCCTGCCTCTTACGAGAGCAGGTGGTGAGTCACCGCGGCATATGGCAGTACCCTCAAAGTGATGGGTGGCGGGTGTACTCTGTGTGTGGAGTAAACTCCTTGCAAGATTTCCTTAGCAGAGTTCACAGCATCCGACGTGCAGTACAGATTGATAGGCTCCGCCCCCTCCAAATTACGTCTACGCGTTTTGCCATAAAGTGACGGCTTCCTCAGGATGTTATTTATGTGGAGTACACTAATACTCTATATATGATATCGCTCCACTTGAAAATTTTTCTTTGATTTACCTTATTTGTACAGTGGGATTGCACTTGAGTGTGCAGCAGGTATCATCTGTTAAATCATAAAGTGCTCTTTTTTTATTGCCCTACCCAGCAACAAATATTTGTTCTAAATGTTAGTGCTCCAGAAATTATTTAATTTCAATACTTATGTAATCATTAATGTAATTATATATATATTTATCTATATACATATATTTGCGGTTATTTGTATTTTATATATAGATTTATATATATATATATGTATATATATATATATATAGAATGTCATTCTTAGTGTATTTTGTTACCACTATATATGTGTATATATATATATATATATTAATAACAAAATCTTCTCAAGGTCTTGAGAAAAGTCTATTGTGACTGAAACGTCGACATTTTTGTATTCTGCACAATAAAGCAGTATTTATTTTGATATAAAACGAAGACTCCAGAGTGCTCTCTACTTGGATGCTATATATATATATATATATATATACACATTTAATTTATTTTACATGTTTAGTAATTTTTTTTTTACACTACCCACTTGCAGGGGGACTGTCTGAGAGACCAGACAGTCCCCCTGCTGGCAGATCCACAGCCAGCTATAGGGGGCCATGTGATCGCTCTTTGAGAGCGACCACATGGCTCCCGGGGGCCTGATTTGCCGTTGGAAGGCTGTCTGGGCTGTCAGGCAGTCCTACCGAAGAGGATTGCAGTGGAGGTTAGTACCGCAGACCTCCTGGGGGCTTAAGCCATTACGGTGTTAAATGCCACCACAATGACTTTAAAGCCCATTAGAATGGGGTTGGCATAGAACGCCACACATCAAGAAATTTTAAGCCACCATTGACATCAAAAGGTTCATGAGAAAGCT